ACTCCCTTCCTGCAGCCACAGCCCCCAGGAGCTGATTTACCTTCCCAAGAGGGGCAATCCTGCTCTCCAGGACTCTTCCCTCTCTGCACTGCACATCCCAGCCATGTGCTGCTGCTCCTCCCACGAACACTTTGTCCTTCTCTCAACAAACAAGCCCAGCCTTGGGAATGTGAGCRAGGACAGCGTGGATTAATGAGGTCACTGCAACCTCCCGAGCTCTGGCTGCAGCTGCTCAGCCCTTTCCCATCCCTCAGTGGTCACACACACACACAGACCTGCACATCYCCAGCTCTGTCAGCTGACAGAACCATCACTCCTGGCTCCAGATGTTCACACAGCACATCTGGATCTCCAGAGGGCAGYGAGCAGCCCATGAGCCACATCCACTCTTCCCTCTAACCCAGAAACAGCACCAACGTCGAGGTTCATTTCCCCTTCCCCTTTCACAACACAATCCCTTGCCAAAAGGAAGGCCCTGAGGAGATGGCAGGAATGAGTTCTGCAGGAGTTACAGAGTGGGGATGACGTGTGAAAGGATGGCTGGGGAAGCTGCTGTGGCCCCCAYGGCCTTTGAGACAACAGCTCAGCTCCAGTGGGGCTCCAGGACACGCTGGCTCYGTCCCCACAGCCCCATTTCCCAGGAAAAGCTGCAGCTCTGAYGTAGCAGGTGATGCCTGTGAGATCAATCTGAGAGCAAACACGCACAGCCAGCCTGTCCTTCCCCCCCTCTGCCCCAGCTCCATCCCCTCCACGTCAGCCCTGCCACCAGAACAGGACCCTGGGGACTGTCCCTGTGCCAACAAGGTCACATTTAATCAGTGGCTGCCTCCTGGGATGCACTGGTGTGAATTAATAAATCTGTCCCAGCACAGAGCTGCCAGCTGGGAGTGGCCTGGCCCTCAGTGGGCAGTGCCAGGACAGGTGGACAGTCCCCAAGGTGGGCACACACGTCAGGCTGGCAGCACTGTGGTGGCCAAGCTGTGCTCCCTGGTGGCACAGAGTGACCCAAGGCCCAGCAAAGCCACCCTGTCCACTCTGACCAAGCCTTGCCATGTCTTGTTCCTATGTTCAGCATCACTGCAGGTGTTCCAAGGGGGAGATGGCATCCAGCACGTGCTGATGGTCCCAACCTGCCTGCAGCCCATGCCCTGGGGTTGTTCTGGGTGCTAACCAGAGCAAGAGCAGCCAAAAATCCCTGCCAGTCACTGCTGAAAGCTGGGTGTCAGTCAAATCAGTGACAAGGGCCCTGCAGAGCTTTAAAAGACACAAAAGCTGATTTGCTGCATGGCATGTGGAATATTATTCCTGATGCAGATTAATTCCATTAACTCATTCTGTGCCCATTTTGGGGAGATCCTTCCCTGCCTTTGCAGCTTATGGAAAGCACAGAGCAAACACACCAGAGACCCCTTTGTGGGGAGGACACTCAACAGCCTCACCTCGCTCTGGCATTTAAATTTCCTGCCCTCCTGCAATGCCTCCCCCTCCCCAAACCACCAAAACCCCAGAACTCACCTTGTGCCTCATAGCCAGAGTAGGGATGAGCTGCAGCCACRTCCTCCTCCCCAGGGCCCAGGCCCAGAGCTGTCCTGAGCTGAGCCACGTTGACCTGAGCTGTCAGCTCCCCGCTCCTGTCCCCGATCTGCAGCAGAAAAACCAACGGGGTGTGGGTTCAGGGCACGGGGAAACAACCCCAGCCAAGACTCTGCCAGTCCCATCCCAAATCAACCACAGGGATGGACAAGAGAGAGCCTGGAGACACCTGGGACACCCCAGAGCCCAGCTCTGAGTGCTCTCCAGAGCTGCTCCTCAGGGGTAATTCAGGAGATGGTCTGTGTTTGTTGTGCTGCACCTCAGAACTCACCCACAGCCCAAGTGTGCACGTCTGGGCTGTCCTGCAGCCACACAAGGCTTGGCACAGAGCCCTGCAGCTCCCAGCCCCATTCCTCAGCATTTCCATGGTTACTGAACCATCAGCCACGTGGGCAGTGTCACACCAGGGCTCCMAAAGCCCTTCTCTCCTGGCTCCAAGCCATACAACTCCGAGTTGTTCCTAGAGATCTACCCACACAACACTCTGAAAAAAATCTTTTAAAAGTCCACACTTTTCCCAATTCCCACCTCTCGCTGGCCTCAGGCCAAGGAAGCTGATGTTRGGTGTTTGGGAAGAGATTTGCCCAACAGCTTCTACTACAAATGAGTTGTTGTAGGACACAACACCGAATCCTTCCCAAAGTTCAACCAAACCAGAGCAGGGCTGTGCTGCACATCACCAGGGACACAGAGAGGTCACCCAGAACAGCCTCTAATCTTCAGAGGAGCAGCCTGTGAGACAGAGGAGACCTTGGCTGTCCCTGTTCAATGCCTGGCAACAGATCTTTTGTGTCCCCTGCCACAGGCGGCAGCAGGAGCCGTCCTAGAACAAAATCATAAATCCCCAAATTATTTATGACAAAGCCCCAAGCGCCAGTAAAGGCAGGCAGATCAAAGGGCTCATCAGCAGCCATAAACCCCCCTGCCAATTACAGGGGATTTGCTGTTGACATCATCTCCAGAGAAATTACTGTGTCCTGGGTAGCTCTTACAGTCCTTGATGCTCTATTAAATGCTCTCCTGATTTCCACTCGGCTCAGATCATCTCCAAAGCCCTGTGAACAACTGAGGGGAAGCTGAGCAGAGCAGTGATCCTCACACACCCCAGCAGAGCCCTCCTTTCTGCCCTCAGCTTCCCAGAACTGCAAGATGACAGAACCATTCCAGACCTGGGGCATCCTCCAAGGTTTTCAGGTCCACATCTTTCATTCCAGAGGAATTTTGTGAGCAACCTCTGATCACCCTGCAGCAGATTCCAGTGTGGTTACCCCAAAAAGGTTGCATTTGGATTCAAATGTCACCTTGAGATTTTTGTTGGAGGGAAGGGGGAAAGGGTGATGGGAAGTGAGTTGTGAACATCAGTGTGAAAAGGCTGAATTCCACAATGTTTGTCCTGGTGTTTGTCACAGGGACAGCCTGCACTGCTCTGTAATTAATGCTGGGGGGATTCATCAGCCACCTGCAGTGAGGAACCCACTCCTGCCACTCCTGCAGCCACACCCAGCACCCTGGAGTGACAACACTGGGATCCCCACCCTGCTGGCTCTGCCCTCCACACCCCAAAACTCAGGGACCACCAATGCTCATCATCCCACGGCCCCTGAGCCAACACCTCTGAGCACTGAGCCACAGCCTGAGCACAACTGGCAAAGTGAATCTGTCCTAAAATGGACCAAAGAACAGCGTTTTTTCTGTGTGTCTGATCAGTATAATTAAATCTGTAATTAGGCTGCTGTGTCAGCCCTACTCGGAGATTTAGCCAACCTAATAGACAGGCAGGAGAACACCCAGCACACTTACATATGGTGATTTCAATTAGTGCTTCAAGAGGGCAATTTCTTCATCTGGGGAAGACTAAAGAGGCCACGGCCGATTTCCTCAACACACTGAAAAGAGCAAACAATGGCATTCTTGCTTTCTGCACCTCTGAGCCACCTAAACACGGCAGGAAAGCTGTAGAGAGTGGGCAAGGCCAGCTGTGACAGCACCCCAAAGGGTGTGACAGTGGCACAGGGCTGGCTGCAGCCTCTGGGGACATCCAGGGACAGCACCCAGGGCATCAGGACACTGCTGGAGCTCCATCCTGGCAGCTCCAGGGAGAGGAGCAGCTCCTCAAACACCTCAAACACACCCCAGGGTGCAGAGCAGGGCACAGCAGGGTCAGAGCACTCCACCCTTGGGCTCTCCATGGCCAGCAACTGCAGCAGAACCCAGCTGGGATCTCCAAGGACTCTCCTTGTGCTCAGGGGAGTGGGATTTCACAGCCTGGACACCAAGAGGTACCTGGGTGCCCTCACTGCTGGGTGCACAGCACCTTGGCCAGCCAGAGTGAACAACAAGCTCCAGGTCCCTTCTCACCCAGGAAGAGCGGTTAAGAGCAAACCACATCTCCTAAATTTCCTCTAATAAAGGGCAAGGCTGGGAGCCTTCCATCAAAAGTGCTTTCCAGCCAAGCTGTGCAGTTCCTAAGGGCACCACTGAAACAGCACACCAAGGGCTCTCCAGAGCAGTGAGAGGAAGATAACTGCATTAATATCACTTATAAAACAGCCTTGCTTGTCAGCAGGGGTCACAGGTTCCCTCTGATCTGCACCAGCTTCTCTTACCTCCTGGGAGATCTCCAGATGTTTCCTCGCAAAGTGCAGAGCCTGTTCGTGGCTGCCCAGGGAGACGTAGGCATTGCCGAGGCTCCAGCAGGCTCTTCCTTCTCCCACCCTGCACAACAGGAAACTGTCAGAGCACAGAAATTCTGGGCAAAGCCCTGCAGAGCCTTCTGGGGAGCGCTGAGAGCCAGGCTCCCACCTCCACAATGGACAGTGAAGTGTGCTGGGCATCTCAAACTCTTCTTACACTGAGCTCAGCAAGGGCTGGGGATGGATGGATGGATGGATGGAGGGATGCATGGATGGACAGGGATGGAGGGATGGACAGGGATGGATGGATGGACAGGGATGGAGGGATGGATAGCAGCCTGGGCAGTAGGGCTGTACCCACAGGGGCACAATTTCAGCATGGAGAAAGGGCCAGGATGGTTTGGCTTCACTGGTGAGCGCCAGCCTGAGAGGAGCAGGCAGAGCTCCTGTGCAGCCTCCACCTCTCACACCCAGAGCTGCACCAGGGAATGCAAAACCAACAGCCCCGAGCTCACCCAGCATGAAAACAGTGAGGAGAGGATGCTGCAGGCAGGAAAGAGCTCCAGCACTGCACGGCCAGGGTGAGCACAGCCCGGAGCTGAGCAGGGCACAGGGACACATTGGCACCTGCTCCCAGGGCACTGCTGCTGTGCCAGGGAGAGCAGGGGATGTGGAACACACCCTGTGCAGCCCAAACTGGCACTGCTGCTGGTTCTCAGGAGCCAGGGAGAGCAGGGGGATGAGGAACCCACCCTGAGCAACCCAAACCCCCAGCCTGGCACTGCTGCTGCGCCAAGGAGCCAGGGAAAGCAGAGAGATGTGGAACCCACCCTGTGCAGCCCAAATCCCCAGCCTGGCACTGCTG